TTTTTATTACTGTATTAGATTAGATACGACGGTTCTATGTTATCTAATACAGTAATAAAATTGGGAAGAATGATTGGTGGCGATTGCCTTTTAATATATTTTCCAGCTAAAAGTGTAGTCACTAAAATTGGAACAGAGGGAACCATTTAACGAAATTGTTTTGTTTACACATAGTATAAAGCATTACAATTATAGAACAATTTATATAAGTACTATTTAAAATACCAGCGGGGGAATGCTTTATCAGATATAAAGTTCGAGGCGACAGCAGAGAGTTTTATATCTGGTAAAGTACGACTGACTGCGAGTGATGAGGTAACAACGAGTAGTCACATCTAAATCTGAACAAAGATGACCAACCAATTTATTAATGCTTGCCACTTGCCATTTATGAGTTTCTACCATTGGCATTGACGTAAATACACCTGGAAAGCTCAGCCTAGTTCCTGGCCTTCTCGCTTCCGTCTCATTATTTTAGGGGGAAACCAGTTCGGATATTTTACGAAACAGACAGCCCGCAAGTTCATGATAGCCTGTAATTCGCCCGCGCTTGGAAGGCCAGGGACTAGAGTGTGGAAAGCTATCATCATTCAAACTAAACGCCCTATCATCGATCGAAACCAAGACAAAACATGCGTATTTATGAATTTCAAGCCGAGTATTTGTATGGATGGCCCTGTTATTTTTAGGTAAAAAGATTGGAGCTGACCTTCAAACTTTGGGTTCGAATATCCCACCAAAATTAGCATTTCAGTTTGATTTAGTTCGTTGACTTCTACCAAATATATATTTGTGTAAGCCTAGTTCCTTGGCTTTTTAGCTTTCGCATTACTAAGGTGTGTAAGATTTTGGCTAACCTAATATGGGTAGCCTTAAATTATCCCAGCTTACAACTAGTCTGCTTGTGAACGGTAGTAACTGAGCTATATACTGTACGTGTATAACCGGATATTTCTTACCGGCTATATGGCATGTGTATTTGAACATGTTTATATGAGTAATTGTTTACAACAGTCTTTAATTCTCATATAATCTCTCAGATGGTATTAGATAGCCTATGTCTAGGAGCAATTGTTTGAAAATGATGTCGTTCAATCAGTGGATCCCGTTATATGCACATTGCTTGAGAACATTGTAAAGTTCAAGAGCCTCTCTCCAATTGGTTGGTTTGTTATGATTACTAGCTTGCAAAGCATAATTGAAATAATCTTGGTGAATGTTGTCATCCTGCAAATCGATAACATGTGCACGAGCATAATGAACTTCAGCCTCGGGAATTGGCATAATAAAATGGTTGCCGCCACCATGACAGTGGGGCAGGTAATACAATGAATCTGGCCGGCCACTTACGGTATCATGACGTGACTTACGTATATAATGCGTATTCCAGTGTTCTTTTATTTCGTTCAAGACCTTCTGGATTAATTCTGCAAAACAAAACCATAGACATTCCATGTCCAACTCTGAGGCAAGATCAATGGTTCTTTGTGCTACCAAGTCTTTAAAGAAGTTGATCCACCATGTCGTGCAAGACTTTCGCAAGAGACCCCACCATGCCTCAATTCGTTGATTACGGGGCGATGGTACGTATCGATGGCTGTTGGGATCGTCTCTGAAGAAAGCTTGAATAGCTGCCATTGTTCCATTTTCAGTGCCCAGGTCTGTGACCAGATCAACAGGGCACCCACCAAACTCTTCAACAGCATCAAGATAAAATTTTGCAATATTATCAGGTTGGTTGTTTGATCTGGTAACATATAACCACAATACCTTCCTGCTCCATCCGTCAACACAGCCATGGATTGGAAATCCGTAGGGTTTTAATTTGTCATAGCCATCGCAGTGCCACGCGTAATTTGGCCCAGGATTGTGGTATACCCTCCTTTTAAGGCGATGAGCTCTTCTCATTTCAGTTGCTTCTGGATCAATTTCTTTAAGAATTTCTTGTACAACAATACGAGGAACACGTAACCCTTTTAGCTGCAATGTGTGCCATACTGCCCTGTAGCCTTGCGTACTGCCATAACCATCAACAATATCCTCTATAGCTGCTCTTATTTCATTAACATCATAGTCTGGCTCTCGCCTTCGGAGACCATAGGCTTTTATACGCCGTTTCAGCGTTGTAATGCTTATTTCAAGACCATGATTTCTCTGCAAGAACATTCGAATTTCTTCGTATGTAAAGCCTTTAAAAAAATAGTATCGAACAATATCTTCTTCGTCAACTTGATCATCTTCTTCGCCTAAATCCGGAAAATTGTCCGCCATGTTTGTTCGATTGTTTTAAATCAGTTTCCAGTCCTCTCGTGCTGAAAATGTGCTCTTGTGCCGTGAGTTTTTTCTTTGGTGCCGTGAGTTTTTTCTTTGGTGCCGTGAGTTTTTTCTTTGGTGCCGTGAGTTTTTGCTTTGGTGCCGTGAGTTTTTTCTTTAGTGCCGTGAGTTTTTGCTTTCGTGCCGTGAGTTTTTGCTTTCGTGCCGTGAGTTTTTGCTTTCGTGCCGTGACTTTTGTTTGCGTTGTGATCTTTCTGTTTGCGTGTGACACTTGTGGGCCACCGTACTCAAATGTCAGGTTTACGCGGATTGGACGTCAGTTTCATTCCCCCTCTGCAAACCGTTGCACGGCCAGTATAAATTTGAACGCAATCACGAAAAAAAATTAAAAACATGGCCAACTCAATGCAATACATTGTAGGAGCAAACAGTTTTTCTCCTAAAATTTACTGCATTGAGTTCGCTGTCGGAAAAAAGTCGAGGAAAACTTCCCCGTCTGGAGAAAAGAATCACTTTTTCAAATATATTGTGTCGTTCTGGATGCACAAGGAAAGAGATATTCTTGCGAGAAAATTTCATTTCACAGGTAGGTAAATTGACTTGCAACTGTGACTTTGCCGTTGCCATTTTTCGCGATTGTTTGAATTGTTTTTAGTTTACCAGTTTTATAGTTTTTAGTCAATACACTGGTACGTTATTTTTTAAAGAATTTATTGTGTGATCGGAATTTGCCTGCCAGCAAAATGTAAATGAATATGTACGTGTGTTAAAATTGGCAATTGATAAAACTAGAATAGTGAAGCGAATAGTGCGAATAGTGCGAATAGTCGACGAATAGTACGAATAGTCCGCGAATAGTCGACGAATAGTACGAATAGTCCGCGAATAGTCGACGAATAGTACGAATAGTCCGCGAATAGTCGACGAATAGTACGAATAGTCCGCGAATAGGAGACGAATAGTCCGCGAATAGGAGACGAATAGTCCGCGAATAGGAGACGAATAGTACGAATAGTCGACGAATAGTGCAATAGAGCAGTGGCGTAACGTTATATCAGGGGGCCCCCGGTTCAAAATTTTCGAAGGCCCCCCTAGTAGAAGTGCCAAAGGCACAAGTCGAGCGCCGTATATGCACGAGTTCTCTAGGGGGTCCAGGGCATGCTCATCCGGAAAATTTTTGAATCTAGACTCTCTGAATTATATAAATGCCATTTCCTGGACTTTGGGGAGAGATTTTACAGAATTCTGATGGTCATAAAACGACATTGTAACATATCAGAGGCCCTGGTCAATGTTTTTGCTCTATTGCCTAAGCCTGGGGGCCCCCATTTGGGTTGGGGGCCCCCGGGTTCTCCCGGTCTGAGCCCATAGTAGTTACGCCACTGCAATAGAGACTTTGCAAGGTTTTGCACTTTTGCAGTAGTGCTGTAGAACTAAATTTACCGGGGGGGGGCTCTATTGACAAACATGAAATCGTGAAACATTCGTTGACGTCAATGACGTCATACGTAACCGGTAAAAATTACGGGAACCACTGAGTATTTTAATTGAAATATAAAACAACGGTAATTTCGTAAATAAACATTTTAATATTCTGGCTTTCGACTAAAATTCAGTCATCGTCAGGAAACATATTTCATATTTTTTAATTAAAAATCATTCCTAGTGTGGTGGGTGGTAACCGTATGAGTCATGAATTTTACTGATGGAATTTTACAGGAATTTTACTTGTAAGTTGTGACGTTGTTAACTGAAGATTTAAGGGCTTAAGTGATTTCGTGTGCTTGGAAAACGTGATTTACATCACGAAACAAGAGAAGGTATCGATCTATTATTTAAGCCCGTTTTTGGGCGAATTTGTTCGCGCGAAGCGAAAACCAAATTTCGGCAATGTGATTGGTCAGCGAAAAAATTCGCCGCGAAAAAGTTGGATCAGTTCCTACTCTTTTACTTGTCGCTTCGCGCGAACAAATTCGCCCAGTAGAAAACGTCATTCTAGTGACTGTCATTCTACTTCCTGTTAAAAATTTTGTTAAAACTCAGTGGTTCCCGTAATTTTTATTACCGATTACGTATGACGTCATTGACGTCAACGAATGTTTTCACGATTTCATGTTTGTCAATAGAGCCCCCCCCCCCGCTTCGGTAAATTTAGTTCTACAGCACGGTGCAAAGCCTTGCAAAGTCTCTATTGCACTATTCGTCGACTATTCGTACTATTCGTCGACTATTCGCGGACTATTCGTACTATTCGTCGACTATTCGCTGACTATTCGCACTATTCGTCGACTATTCGCGGACTATTCGCACTATTCGTCGACTATTCGCGGACTATTCGTACTATTCGTCGACTATTCGCACTATTCGCTTCACTATTCTAGTTTTATCAATTGCCTGTTAAAATTAGACCATATGGGCTTAGTAAAAAATTATTTTAATAACTACGTTTCGGAGTATAACTCCATCTTCAGGTTTATAAAAGTGAATAAAGATATAAAAACTGTGATAAAAACTTTCAAAACAATTACAAATTTTATATGTAAGTGATTTTTAATACTGTAAGAAAGTTCTTGAACAGTTGATGACGAAGACAATGACGAATACTTATGTCGTGATTTTTCTGTCGGCTTCACTTTTCGCTCGCTGTTATCGTTCCAGATATATATATATATATATATATATATATATATATATATATATATATATATATATATATATATATATATATATATATATATATATATATATATATATATATAGAGTTCACTGGATAAGGGTGACGTCATTTTTGGAACATTGTCGCGTAAAGGCCGTTTTCCACTAGGCGAATTTTTTCGCGCGACGCGAAGCGAAAACCGAAATCCGGCAACGTGATTGGTCGGCGAAAAAATTCGCGGCGAAAAAGTAGGATCGCTTCCTACTTTTTATCTGTTCGCGCGAAAAAATTCGCCTAGTGGAAAACGGCCTTTACATTTGTCGCGTGATCTTTTGGAATTTTGAGATGGCGTCAGCAACTATTTGTCGCATAAACATTTGTCGCATAACGTTATTGTAAAAAAATATGATCCTTGTATTAAGCGCTACAATACCAGTTCGAACCGGATTTAATATACTGTAGAGAACTTTGAAAGATTTGCTTTGATATATTGTTCACACAGCAAACTTTACTGACGTTTCGCGAGTGGTTTTTTTCTTAGTATAAAGACTTGTTGCTTTCAACTTTTAAAGGTATGTTGTTTAACAAACTATATAGGTAAACTTTTTGTATGTGAACTTAGGCAAAGCATTTTTGTTTTATAGTTTTTACAGATAGAACTTTGCTGAATATTTGACGTTTCGCGATTTTTGTTTATAGTTATTCACAGATATAACTGGTTAGAATTTTGCAGACGAGGTGTTCCTTTAGGCAAAACAGTTTTGTTTACAGCTTTCATAAATAGAGCGTTTCGCGATAAGTTTTGCTTTAAAAGAGTTGATTTATCATGAAGTTATTTCAAGCGGTTGCCATAGCAACTTAGATTTTAGATGATTTTTCGAAAACAATACCGGACGATTTATACCTTTTTACTATAAAAGTTTCAGTTCTATACAGAGTTCTATAGTTTGTTAAAAGTATTAAGTTCCTTCATGGCTTGTTGTATGTCATAGAAAGGAAATAAACAAAAGTATTTTTATTTAAACATGGATTTGGCAGTTAAAATTGCTGAGTGTCAGACAATAGCTGAATTATCAACCTTGGAAAGGCTATATTTGTTGAATGAAGTGGAACAACGCATTCTTTTCGAGAGGAAATTGGAAATTTTTCGTCGAATAACGGAATGGAGAGTAGAAAATGAGCAGCTAGGGCTTACGACTGACTTTACGGACACCTGGACACCGGAACAACGTGAAAGATTCATACGTGAGTGGCAAAACGATGACCCCCTGTTGCAAATGGGCCGTGGCGAGAAACGATCCATAGACGAAGTGAATGACGGTGCAACTGACGAGGTTAGCGATAACTTTTTTACCGTGGCAAATATGAAACAAGTTAAAGTGAAAAAATTCAGCACGACAGGTGTGGATTATACAGTACAATTCACGGACACGTTTGCTCATTTGGAGCTTTCTCAGTTCCACGACCGTCTTCATGGAATATTTGAAAGTATATTGAGTACCATCACACGAGATATTCCAGAGCATGATCAAGTACGTTTTGTGTTGCATTCACCTCAGCTTGAAAAACCTATTTCTCTTCCTTTCATGGCTCTTTCTCATTTGACAACAGAGCGGGTTTTAGCTCAAATTGAGCGCGTCATTCAATCCAATCATGAATTTCGTCTAAACGACAGTGTCAAAGTGAATTTGGTCCATGTTGAAATGCCCAATGGCGGTACCGGAACAAAACGCAGTGAAATAAATTTAGAAAAACATTTGGCCAAAAAAGGCTCAATCATACGTATCCAAAACAAGGATGATTTATGTTTAGCTCGAGCTTTAGTTGTTTCGATTGCCAAAATTGAAAACGATAGTCGGGATCGTCAAATAAGAGATCATCGTTGTTCATTACAAGAGTGTTTAGCTTATGATTTGCACGAAAAAGCAGGTGTTCCTATAGGTTCTTGCGGTATAGACCAAGTCAAACAATTTCAAGCGTATTTGTCTGATTATCAAATCAACATTGTTTCGAAAGAGCATCAAAATTCTATCATTTTTTCCGGACCTGATAAAGAGAAAAGAATTTATCTGTTTTTGCATGACAATCATTTCGATGTGATTACAAGCATGGCCGGCTTTTGTTGCTCGTAAAAAGTATTGCCATACTTGTAAAAAAGGGTATGATCATGTAAAAAATCATTTATGCGGAGATACATATAAATTGTGTCATTTTCAAAATTGTCCTATTGTTTCGTGGATTTCATGTAGTGATTGTAATCGTATTTTTAAAAGTCAAGAATGTTTCGATCGGCACAAAATGTAGGAAATGCAAAATCAATTTGTTTGTCTACTGCCAAATGTCCTCATTGTAATCTTGTTTTTGATCGGACTCGACTGAGGCCTGATTTGCATCACTGCGGACTGAAACGTTGCTCGACCTGTGAAAAATACGTGGACATCAAAGATCACCAGTGCTACATGCAACCTGTCAGGGAAAAACCTGCGCACGAGACCAATATGCATGATGACGAAGCGGATGAGGACGTCCACGAAAGCGGATACAACGAACTACTGTTCTTCGATTTTGAGTGCATCCAAGAGAATGGTACTCATGAACCAAACTTGTGCGTAATTCAAAACGAGGCTGGTGACGAATGGTTGTTTCAAGGAGATAATACCAGAAACGAGTTCTGCGAATGGTTGTTCACAAAAGAACATGAAGGATGCATCGTGGTGGCCCATAATTTTCAGGGCTACGATGGTTATTTCATCCAACAATACCTACATGAGAACGGTGTTATTCCTGAAGTCATCATGCGTGGTGCCAAGATCCTTACATTGTATGTACCTATGCTCAAGATTAAATTCATCGATTCCTTGAGTTTCATACCAATGAGACTGGCTGATTTTCCCAAGACCTTTGGTTTGAACGAGCTGGCAAAAGGATATTTCCCTCACCTCTTCAACAGGAAGGAAAACCAGAAATATGTTGGACCCCTACCACCGAGTCCTTATTACCATCCCAATGGAATGAATCCAGCAGAGAAAGAGACGTTTTTGAAATGGCATCAGGAATTGAAGGAGAACAATTATGTGTTCAATTTCCAAGAAGAAATCCTGAGTTACTGTCGATCCGATGTGGATATCCTTCGACGTTGTTGCCTTGAATTTTGTGAGTTGTTCCGTGACATTCCGACATTGACCCGTTCGAGAAATGCCTAACCATTGCGTCAGCGTGCAATCTTGTGTTTCGGACGAATTTCCTTAAAGAAAACACCATTGCCATTTTGCCTCCACACGGCTATCATCCAGGAATCAAGCAATCCAACATCGCCTTGAAATGGTTATCTTACACAGCCGAGAAGAATGACGTGTACATTCAACATAAACGGAATGGTGGAGAGAAGACTGTTGGTCAATATTCCTTGGATGGCTATGATGAGGAAACACATACAGCATATGAATTCCATGGCTGTTTCTGGCACGGTAAGTTTTTTAGAGGGTCAGTTTTTACATAGGTACAGTACTTTAACGAAATATTTTTTACAGGGTGTTTGAAATGTTATGCACGGGACACCGTCAACAAGGTCAGCGAAAAGACCATGCATGATCTCCATCAAGCCACCATGGAAAAGACCCAGTACCTTAAAGATCGTGGCCTCCATGTTGTCGAAATGTGGGAGTGCAACATGAAGAAAGAATTGGAACACGATGAAGACATGAAACAGTACTTCGAGGATTACGATGTGGTGGATCCTTTGGAACCACGACATGCTTTCTATGGTGGTCGAACCAACGCAACGAAACTCTTCCACGAATGCAAAGAGGATGAGAAGATAAGGTATGTTGTTAGTGCACCCCAATAGATCTAGGAACGGGAGTCTAATGTCCGTTTTTCTTACAGGTACGTCGACTTCACCAGTCTCTATCCCTGGTGTAACAAGATGACCAGAACGGTCATTGGTCGGCCCCGTATCATCACTGAAAACTTTGATGATATTACCACGTACTTTGGCTTGATCAAGTGCACGGTATTACCACCTCGTGGACTTTTCCATCCCGTCCTTCCCTATCGAACCCAAGGCAAACTGATGTTTCCTCTGTGCAAAGCCTGCGCTGATACGTGTAACCAAGCCCCTTGTACTCATTCCGAGCGTGAAAGAGCTATCCAAGGAACCTGGTGCAGCGTGGAATTAGAGAAAGCCCTGGAGAAAGGTTACCATATCCTCCAAATGCACGAAGTGTGGCATTTTCCCGAAACCTCCGACGCGCTGTTCAAGGATTATGTGGACACTTTCCTCAAAATCAAGCAAGAATCCAGTGGTTATCCCAAGAATTGTGTCACTGAGGAACAGAAACAGCAGTACGTCGACGAATACTTGGCAGTCGAAGGTATACAGCTAGACCGAGAAAAGATCGAACACAATCCTGGGATGCGTGCACTGTCCAAACTGATGTTGAATTCGTTTTGGGGTATGTATTTTTTAAACGGTAATGTTCTCGCAAGGACGGCGAGGTAAACTTATCTTTTACAGGTACTTATATTAGATTTTTTCCCTTAGGAAAATTCGCGCAACGGTCCAATATGGCCAAAGTAGAATTGATTAAAGATCCCCAAGTGTATTTCGACTATCTATCGTCGGATGAAATCAATGTTCTCGACGTGAGATTCGTAAGCGACGAAATGGTCGAGCTTCGTTACGAGTACAACGAGAACTTCGTCGAACCCAACGCCAAAACGAACGTAGTCATCGCCGCCTTTACCACCGCTTATGCCCGTCTCAAACTCTATGGGGTGTTGGATCAACTTCAGGAGCGAGTGTTATATTACGACACGGACTCTGTGATATTTGTTAGCAAACCCGACGAACCAGAACCACCGCTAGGTCCTTACCTAGGCCAATTGACCGACGAATTAAAAGAAGGACATATTACTACCTTCATCTCGGGCGGTCCGAAGAATTACTGTTACAAGACTAGTACCAACAAGGTCGAGACGAAGATACGAGGGATTACCTTGAATTGTACTGCCATGCAAAAAGTGAATTTTGATGTCATTCGTTCGCTCGTGTATCTTCATGCCAAATGTAATGTTACGGGGCAAGTTACCGTGGACATACCGTTAAAGATAACGCGGAACACGAGGACCAAAAACATTGAAACCAAACGCATGAGAAAAGACTACAGAATAGTTTATGATAAACGCTTTATTGTAGATGATTACAAAACATTACCTTATGGGTACTAATAACAGTTGAAATAAATATATTTACGAGATCGTTTGATCTCAATGTTAATTTCTGATGTTCAGTTTGTGATAATGATCCAAATTCACCCCCGTTTCTTTTTCCAATGCCTCGATCTGCTTTTCGTTTTTTCTAGCCATGTCCCACATCAACATTTCTTTCGCGTTCATATGGTAAGTAAAGGTGTTCCCCTGGGGGGCCCGAGGTACCGTTATACCCGTTAGTGTTTCCAGTATGATTTGCGTCAATATGATGGCGTGCAACGTCGGATTGTCTATAAGCGTTGCTGGTATGATATTCTTCTCTATCAAAAGTTTCATCAAATCCAGAGTTCCCAAGTTTCCCTCTTGCGTAATAATTTTGTCCGAGAGCCAGTGAGTGACAATGTTTCTCCAAGTCATGTCTGCATTGAATGATCGTGAAATCAGGAAAGGTACTGAGCTTTTATAGATTTTGGTTACATAACAATGTGCATTGTATCAACAAGCTGTCCCACCGTGACACGGTCCTCGGAAATGTATCCATGATCGACGCATGCGTACCACACCATTTCAATAAAATCCCCGTTAGTTATAATTGCATCGTCATCCTCGTGAAATGGTACTCCATTTCTTTTCAACTCCTGTTCGGAAAATCCACCCAGGATCTTATCGTACAGGTTAGTAGCACACACGCTACGACGAAACACAAGTTCCTCATTAATGAAAAATAGTATAGCGATGGTCATCCTGACGCTGTCCAACGATAAATGAAATCTGTAGTGGCATCGTGTCTTTTATAGGTTACAATAACTGAAAGATCACGTGTTTCAATGCCCGCCTGTGTTTCACGCAAAAGATAGTTTTCCAATCGTCCGCCGTATACTCAATTAATTCGAAATCATATACTTTCATATCACTCAAACTTTCCGTAAAAGCTTTCATCACTTTTGTTTCCGAAGCCTTTTCCAGAGCATGATCAAAGTATAGACATAACCGTTCGTCTCTTTCCATCGTAAGACACTGATGATGCGTTTGAGACAGATGCTCTGTCATGCAACCGTTACAATTTTCAACAACGAGCTGAGAAATGATAGAAGCGATTTCTTCAGCTGAAACTTTTAAAAGTTTCCTGACGATAAGTTTTTGACGTTGATAAAGAATGAATTCCTTATTGTCAATATCGACGGGTTTAGACATGTTTACTCTTTGTCTGATCGAAAGTAATGACTGTTTCTTTCCTAGGGGGAAAACTTTATACGTACGTGCACCTTTAAAAATCTTCTCATATTCGAGTGTACGTCATGGGACACTCTGCCAGTAAGAATTCGAAGATCAATAAAAATCATAGCAAACAGAAAATGTTTAGAATCGGTATAAGTGCAGGACAAAATGATCTTAATCTTGAAGGGCATGTACAGGTGGGATACCGTAGTAAAACCATCAAAAATTACAAACCCATTGAAAAGACCCAAGAGAATAGTATTGAAAACGCTGAAGAATGAAAGGATTTTGTCATTTTACGCGTGAACATGGACGACTACTTATCTAGCGTGTATTACGATCCAAAACGACCCGGAGGATTTGGCGGTGCGGAACGTTTGTATGAAGATGTTAAGAAGGAAGGAAGATTTGCGCTAAGTCGTAAAGAAATTAGGGAATGGCTGATGAAACAAGATGCATACACGCTGCATAGACCCATTCGTCGCCATTTTAAACGAAACCGTGTCATCGTGGGCGGTATCGATCAACAGTGGCAAATGGATCTGGCGGATATGCAATCCATGCAGAAATTTAATGATGGATATCGTTATCTACTCGTGTGCATCGATGTTTTTTCCAAATATGCATGGGTAGTCCCGTTGAAAAACAAGACTGGTCCTACGTTGGTCGAAGCTTTCAAAGTCATTTTAACGTCTGGACGCAAACCCGAAGGGATCATGACCGATCAAGGAACAGAGTTTCTAAACAAACATTTCCGAGCATTGATGAAAGAAAAGACATCGAACTGTACAATACGTACAATGAAACGAAAGCTTCTGTCGTGGAACGTCTGATTCGTACTCTAAAAACCAAAATGTGGCGTTATTTTACAGCCAAGAAAACCATGCGATACGTAGACATGTTACCTGATCTGATCTATTCCTACAATCATAGTGTTCACGGTAGCATCAAAACAAAACCTGTGGACGTTACTGCTGAAAACGAGAAGAAAGTGTGGCACACCCTGTATGATGATCATAACGTCGTGAAAAATGTAAAGTACAAATTCAAGGTCGGTGATCAAGTGAGAATTAGCAAGATGAAACGAACATTTGAAAAAGGATACTTGCCAAATTTCTCCAAAGAGATTTTTACAATAAGCAAACAAATACCACGTGATCCTCCAGTGTACAAGCTAAAAGATCTAGACGGTGAAGAACTCAAAGGAACATTTTACGAAAAAGAGCTGCAAAAGATCATCAAGGAAGATGACGTCTACGAAATTGAGAAAATCTTGAAGAAACGTGGACGAGGCAATAACGTACATTATCTTGTAAAATGGTTAGGGTACCCCAATAAATTTAATACGTGGGTACCCGCTTCTGAAATAAATAAGATTTAAAGCGTTGAACGTGTTGTTAGTTTGTTATTCTCATCGGGGATTCATAATGAGCGGAACACATTTTTACCTTACGCTTCCGAGCAATGCGTCCCTGGACGTTTTTCCCGACAACAAAACGACCGAATATCGTGTAAAGTTACCGCAACCCATTGAGTTGGATGGCAATTGGGAAGTCGGACTGTATTCCATTTCTTATCCCCGCACTTGGTATACTCTGCGGAATGTTGTTGACGATCTATACTTTTATTACAACGACGGTACCGGAAACAATGGCGAGGGATTTTTCCTTGTGGCATTTGTCGATTACGGGCACTATGAAACTGTACAAGAACTTCTCAAAAACATGAATGCCTCTCTAAGGAAAAAAATCGGCAGCGACAAAATCAACTTAACGTACAGCACTCGAACAGGAAAGGTGACCGTCCATTTGGGAGCCAACTGTAAGATTGGTTTATTTAAAAAATTGTCCCTCATCTTGGGATTCGGTGGAAAAGAGGTAAAAATTGACAAAACGGGCGAAAGTCCACACGTAGTCGATTTGAATATCTTTTCGACGATCTACACGTATTGCAACATCGTTCAACCGCAGATCGTTGGAGATACGAGTGCACAATTACTTCGAAGCATTCCCGTCGAAGGAAAGTATGGCGATATCGTTACGAAAACGTTCACCAACATACAATACGTGCCTGTTCAAACGAAATCTTTTGGAGACGTGAAAATTCTTTTAAGGAACGACACGGGCGATCCAGTGCCATTCGAACGGGGGAAGGTGCTGACAACACTACATTTCAGACAGCATACATACTTCACTTGAGGAAGATGAATAATCCGTACGTACGTTATTATTTGGATCAACAACAGGGGCGTGGCATGCCCGTGTTCAGGGGCAGCCCCTGGCAATCCGGATACGGGCAACAGACAGGGTACGGCCTGGGGAGCCTGTTCCGTACTCTTGCAAGAAAAGCCATGCCTCTGATTAAAAGTGGAGCGAAAGCTCTTGGAAACATTGCCCTGAAAAGCGGGACAGACTTTGTGGGCGATGTCCTGGCAGGTAGAAACGTGAAATCAGCAGCAAAAGCACGAACCATACAGGCCGCCAACATTGCAAAAAGAAAAGCTATCGATACACTAAAGAGTCAAACGGGGAGCGGAAAACGGAAGCGCTCAAGAAGTGTAAAGCGTTCAAGAAGTGCAAAGCGAACAGCTAAAAAGAGAAAGATATCTGCAGTCAGGCGCAGTCAGAGCAAGAAACGGAAAACAGTTAAAAAGAGAAAGGCATCGACATCTGCAGCCAGACGCAAACAGACCAAGAGACGGAAAACAGCTCAAGACATATTTGGTTAAGATCATGAATCTCGTACATTCCAAATCGCAAGAATGCACAAAAAGCGAACTCGATCTATTCTCTGTGCCCCCAACACAAATCAGTTTAGAAAAAGGACATTGGGTAGATCATCAACCCGTTTCCAGTGTAGCCGATGGTGGTGTCATTACGTTCCTGTCTCCGGGCACTGAAGATTATGTGGACCTTGCTAGAACGATTCTTGTGGTGAGAGCGAAAGTGACAAAAGCCGATGGTACGGATCTCGGAGCAGCCGAAAAGGTATGGTGTTTTTCATATTGAATACGGCGTTTCCAAATATTAATTTCCTTCTAATCTGTTTAAGGTTGGAGTGGTGAACAATTTCCTCCACAGCCTGTTCAAACAGGTGGATGTCTTTTTGAAAGGGAAACAAGTCACTCAGGCTACCGGAACCTATGCGTACCGTGCTTACTTGGAAACCCTTCTGAATTACGGTCCCTCTGCAAAAGATTCACAGCTCACTGCTGCGTTGTATTACAAGGACACTGCAGGGAAAATGGATGTTGCGGATCCTACCGCGGTCGGTGGTAATGGCAACGCTGGACTCAGAGCAAGATACGTTTTCAGCAAAGCAAGTGGAACTGTTGAAATGACCGGTCCCATATTCAGCGACATATTCATGTCCGAACGTCTCCTGCTGAGTTACGTAGATCTGAAAGTTATTTTGAATCGAGGCAGCGACGAGTTCTGTTTGATGGCCTCCGAAGAAGGAGCCGATTATCGGGTGAAACTCACCGATGCTTATCTCAAGATACGTAAAGTGAAAGTCAACCCGAGCATTTCCGTGGCTCATGAAATTGCGTTGAAAAAAGGACCGGCCATCTATCCTATTCGTCGCATCGAATGCAAGAGCTTCATCGTTCCAGCTGGAAATCCCTCCCTAAGGAAAGATAACCTTTTCAATGGACTGGTGCCGAAAACATTTGTCTTTGGAATGGTCGAAAGCGAAGCGTTTAACGGTGCTATGAAAAAGAATCCATACAATTTTCAACATTTCAATGTGTCTTCCATTGGAATAACCGTCAACGGAGAAGAAATGCCATTTAAACCCTTGCAGCTTTCCTATGGTGCTGCACCTAAATACATCGAAGCATTCAGCACCCTGTTTTCTGGTACGGGGAAAATGTATCACAACACAGGAAACGATATATCCCGAGAAGAATTTCCCAAAGGTTACGCTGTGTACCCCTTTGACCTGACACCAGACATGTGTGGAGCCTCTCCTCATTTTAACGTGGTGCAGAAAGGAAATCTAGCCATTGATATCCAGTTCTCCACAGCGCCTGCAAACGCTGTGAGTCTCGTATGTTACGGGGAGTTCGAGAATACCGTTCACATCGACTCTGAAAGAAACGTTGTCTACGATTACTCGGGATGAATACTGCCCAGATAACCCATGCCTTGGAACAAGATCCTGTAACAAGCAAGAAGTTTTGGGCCGTGTTCCCTAGCGACAAGCTACCTCAGACGATAGACAAATATCCGTGTGGATTCGTTGCGAACACTGATACGAGCAGCGAACCCGGGACCCATTGGACCGCTTTCTACTTTCCATCGGAAGAGAAGGGAGAATTCTTTGACAGTTACGGACATGCACCCGAGTACTATAGGAAATCGTTTGGAGACTTTTTAAAGTCTCGCGCATGGGATTTTAATAGACGTAAACTGCAAAGTGCTTGGTCGGATGTATGTTGTCATGCCAGTATTGCATATTTTATCTTAGTCATAGAGCAAGAGGTCAGAGCATGAGTAAAATCGTACATTTATTTAACAATGATACGGTCTTAAATGATACAAAAGTATCCCAGTTTGTTAAGAGACATTTTAGGTATTGTTAAAACATTCCAATGTTAACCCTAACCAGCTCAGTAAAAAATGTTTTCAATAAAATTGTTGTAAAAACTACAGTATGTGTTTCCTTATTCTGCGCATGCGTACAGACTTACGTCCCACATGCGAAACGTGCATAAAAACCGCAGCCCCAAAGAACTGACGCCAATACAAAATTGGTTTTAACAATATTTTTTATTAATACATGCAAACAGTTACAACATTTTAATAATTAATCCATTGTTTGGATTTCGCCGTCTGTTTTCTTATAAAGTTACGGTAATATTCCGCGGGACTTGCACGTGGTGATGCTGACAATGGTTGCCCTGGGGGTGTTTTGAAAACAATTGGTTCATCCTTTTGAACTTCCTTCCATCTTTCCGTGTTCCTTGCAATATCTTTGGGTACGTTAATCTTTGACAGTCCGCGAAAAAATTCTTGTGCTCCCTTAGGATTAAAATTCTTGCGTGCCCGCATGGCGTCACTGACCAGATCCGATATATTTGAATCGGGAATCTCTTTACCATCCACTTTCACTTGCCCAGATTCGTCCCAGGAAATAACGTCAGGTCTTGCTTTCAGACGTTTCAAAAGAGTTGCCGCTTTCGAGCGCAGGGTTACAGGTAAATGACCGATCACGTCCGCGTCAGATAAAGATACTTCCCCTTTGGACTTCTGTTCCGCATCCTGTGCAATCCGAACAGTCGGTATTTGATCGTCCTTCTGTCGCTTCAAACTCAAATAACTTTCCATGCTCGCATTGTACATTTTCTGTTTTTCGACATCGGACATGTCTGTACTCTGAAGAATCTCTGACATCGCCGTATCCTGATGCATCATATTAGATGTAATGGGGGAGGTTTCAATCTTTTGTTTCTGCTCATAACGATTAAGCACATCCTCCGGGACCAATACCATGCGTTTCGCATGCTTCATACCAGTAAACTTCCGAGTACACTCAACACGGGTGGTAAGAGAGCTGACAATAAATTTCCACCTTTTTGATTAAGGCGTTGTTTTTTCCGTTTTCTCGATACTTTTTTACTGGCCAAATCACGGAGATGTGTCTTGTAACGCGCTAAACGTCGCTTTTGACGAGGTGATAATGGGATGACACCTTTAAGCAAGTTTAAGGAACATTCGCAGATAGCGGTGATGACCTCCGGGGGGACGTTGTTGATCATGAATTTACGTAGTTTTGGCCCACATTTCCCCATGACCTGAAGGTACGGTAGACTTCCTTTCATGCGCTTCGACATCTTGAAAATGAACCGTTTTCAATACACGTTTGGCTTTTAAGCACGTTTCACATAAACAATCTGTTTCTCTTCGGGTAAAATGTTGGTCTTCAAACGCATATTTTCCGGCGTCAACTGGTGACAATCGATGACTAAATATCCATAAGGCCTGTTCGTCGCATCGTGAAATGCATCCAGAAGGTATCCGGTATGTTTAGGAAACATCTGTCTAGCAAGTGTGGAAACACCAAGCGAGTCACGTGGGTTTCTAAACACGATGAGAACGTGACTATTCAAACTGATCGTTCGAGAACGTTCGCCCGGTGGGAACAAATTCTGGGTAAGGTACAGCACGGACATGCCAAGGTGATGGGAATCACGTGTAAACAAATCCGAGACACGTGGGTCGTTGGAACATTGAGACATTAAGTCATCGAGCACGACTAACGAATTATCATGTCCACGGGTCATCTCACATAAATTATCGGGAAATCCTTCTACCAGAGTTAAATTGGGCACTGTCTGCAACATTTCTTCGAATTCCTTCTGATATATGCCGTAACAGTATATGATTTTAGTCGGCACGGGATTAAATAGTTCCTCTGCATGCCGTAACATGGAACGAACCAAATAAGACTTCCCGCTCTGAGATTGCCCACAAATATAAAAGTTCGCTGGCGTTTTAAATCTCACGTCCATCGTGTTCACGTGCACAACACGTACTGTGTTATTATTTGATGTGTCCGTCCGTCTTATATCTTAAACACCTGCCTGATCATTCTACGGAAAAAACTCTCTTGGATTCGAAACGCACTAAAATCAAAACTTTTCAAGGGCGCTGTAACCAGGCGAACAGCCCTGCGCGTAGTATCTTCAGAAGCATGCATCAAATAAACTAGTGTCAGGTATGCCATAGCACGGCCAAAATTAGTCACGTTGATCATGTTAAAAACATGCATTTCATTAGGAGTAACATTCACTACCATTTGATTGTAAAACGCTTCGTGACGCCGAAGCAAATCATTGACATGCATTTCATTAGGAGTAACATTCACTACCATTTGATTGTACAACGCTTCGTGACGCCGAAGCAAATCATTGACATGATGAGATAGTGTTCTCAAATCAATATCAACTCCATTTTCCCGAAGTTCATCTAGTATCACTTCCATTGCAGCAAGACAGCAAATGAACAAAATAAATGAAACAATTTATTTATATACAACAAACAATTCATCTACGTACAGCTTATTATAAATCCTATCTAAAAAACCCTATGTCTAGCTAAAGCAAATTTACTACACTAATTTTATGCTATTATAGTTACATTCAGTAAAACATCACAAAGTTTGCGCGGGAAAATACAAGGTAAAATTTACGAGGAATTTATAGTACATCATAACACGTAAAATGCATGTTTTATCTTTCTTTTGTTGTGTATTACTTGTGCTGGTAACGTCATGTTGTATTGAGGATGCGTGGGAGAATGTCGACTTTGCCTTTGGTCTGCTCAACTGTGCAGGAAGACAGCTAAAAAGTATACCGTACAGCAGTAATGTAAAGCCTTGGGTAAAATCGGCCGACTTCAGCAGAAACAACATTTCTCACTTTAACATTTCGAGGTTCTGGATGAAGTTTCCAAATGCCAAGCGCATAGATTTACGAGGAAACCCCCTGGACTGTTCCGTGCTGCAGCCGTATATCTTTGACTTCGTGCTTAGCGATTGTCCAAACAACAACAGCATCGCCACTTCCAGCCCGCAGCTTACCACCTTCGCGACTTCTTCTGTCTCTCTTACGGCAGAAACAAAAGGGCACTGGCTTGGTATCACTCTTATCACAATCGGGACATCGATGGTTTCCGTGATATGTGTTGTTCTGGCAGCGTATTATGTCATGAAGAAGAGACGAGCTGTTCCTAATAACAATATGTTCGCGCTGGAGGGACTTGGTACCGTTTCCCCGTCCGACTCTTCAGGAAGCGAAATATTGAATTATCTTCGAGAATCAGAAGTATAGTTTACTTTTGCCTTACAGACAAGTGTCCTACAGTTCATATTATGTTTTGTTTATTGTAAATGGGAGCTTGTTTTATAGAGTTCGCAGGATAGCTTCCGGTTAAATTAACATGAACAATTCCTCAACAATTTAAGTTCCTTAAAACGTTCCTAACTTCCTGTTTCATTGATCAATCAAATTGCTCAAAAATAAAATATATAATTTGATTGGTCAATGAAACAGGAAGCTTTGAAGTTTTAAGGAACTTAAATTGTTGTTCGGAGGTGTTCCTTCAAGCTAGGAAATGAACTGGTCAACATTTTTCATATTTTCGCTTCTATTGGCACGACTGTAATGCACTAGTGTAATATAGTTATTCATTTTACTGTGTTTCTAAACAAAACGCAAAACACAAAAAAAAAGACCTATTTTCTGTAGACTGTTTAAATTCCGGCTGTAATATCTCCTTTCATGTACATAAATAGATATTAGTTTAAACTGTGTACGTTAATGAATCGGTTATTTTCCCATTACATAAACACTTTGAAGCGATACATAAAGTTGAGAACCACTGAATCAGTGCCAGTTAAAAAACAATCGTATAAATGCGTTATAAATTCGCTCGTATAAATGGCCCTAATGTGCATCTCATTACACCTCGCTCAAACAAATATTTGACATGATGAGATATTGTTCTCATTTCAATATCATTTTCCCCACGCTGGTTCTGGGCCGACCCTATTACAAGAGTAAATGAACACAACACACAGTGTAAAACGTTTCAAATATATATTCATAAACATGATAATACAAAGCTCTTTAATTATACGTTAAATGTTTATATAAATGTTTCAGTTCTGCTGAGCATCCGGATAATAACGACTGTAAAACAATGGTACAAAAGGTGCCATGGTGTCAGGTTGTTTTGGCAATTCCTCGGGAACCCATTCAAAATAATCACACCGGTTTTCGTTGCAGCAACAGAAGAACTTTTTACCCGTATTGGGACCTTGTTTCTTGACTCGCTTCACGGCACACGGTTCGTTGTGATAGCAATTCGGTTTCTCGATTTCTTTCTCGTCTGCCCACATCCATAAGGAGCAAGGATTCTCCCGACTTGCACACGTAAAATACGGTCGTCCATAAGACTTTTTCAACATGTCTTTAACTACACGAAACTTCGCGGGCTTTCGGTGACTCTCACATATCGGTTGCGTTAAGCCTGTGGCTCTCCAAGCTGTCAGAGCTGTCTGGAACAGATAACCGTCCTCTTCTGTACATAGAAATCCACAGCTGGGCTTCTGTCCACAAAACCAAAAGGAACCCTTGTCTGTAGTTGAATTGGAAGCAGCTTTTCCGTGCAAACACTCCATCGCTATAACTTTAAAATAAAACATTTTACTTCTTGCCTTTTATACAAAAACTCAACCCACCAAATCATACGGCTATGCGACATCTGTCACGTGAAAAAAAAAGTTATGCTACAAATGTTATGGAACGCTATGCGACATCTGTCACGTGAAAAAAAAGTTATGGCGTTAGGTGTTAGCGTACAGATTTCACGTGATAGGTGTTATACAAATGTTATGGAACGCTATGCGACATCTGTCACGTGAAAAAAAAGTTATGGGACAGATTTCACGTGATAGGTGTTATGCGACAATGCTATTAAAATTATATAAAGCAGGTCGAAAAGTACATGTTCAACATTTCAAAAGGTCTCAACAACTTACAAGTATTGCTGCGGTTATAGATATGGATGTTTTTTTTGTCAACAGAAGTTTTTTCTGTAAAGAATTGGGTTTTCTGAGTGTTGGAGACGCTACAGCTCAATCCTTCTTTTTTGAAACCGGTCTACAGTGGAACGACCTGACGCCCAAAGAGTATGCAAATACGTACAAACTCACATCCATAAATTACCTTTTGGTGTGCCCGCTGGAGTCGATGCCCTTCCTCTTTCCGATCTTCCTAAGATAATCTCTCAGCTGTATGAAAATGTACGTCAGAACTCGAGGTCAGCCATTGCGTACAAAGGTGGAATATATGAAAGAGACCTGTTATCTCGCCTTAACATTCCTGCGCTTGATTTACAAGATTATGGCTGTCCCAAGGCTGAAAAGCTCTTCGACCAGCTGGTCTGGCTCGAAACGTGCGGGAAACATACCGAAAACGCCGCCTACCAACGCTGTGCCAAAGTGGAGGTCGAAGCATTTGCGATGTGGCTGAAGAAGACGCTGGACGCTTAAAGAAAAAACAAAAAACCGGTTCCTGTAGGAACCATCAAAATAACAAAAGAATTGAAACGAATACTGTGATATTCATACTTAGCTCGCCCTAAAAAAACTATCTCACAAACACTTACACACGTAAAAATTTCCTTATAACTATTCAATTTACCTGCATAAAAATTCCCCTGCAAATAATTCACCTACATAAAAAATTATACACAATTTCGAATCGCTCATATTCTTTCATAGATTTGGTGGCTCTTAAAAGAGCCGTTTTTTTCTTCCTTTCTTCGCTAGAGTAGCCCCAGCTCCCGCAGAACAATCGTTTCTTCTACCATCGCCTCAGGATGGTCGCGGTACCTCGCTAACATTTCGAACATGGCCACAGCCTCAAAATTTAGGTCCATCATAATCCCATAGAACTCGCGCAAATGCGCGAGCTCCCTGTTCCTTTCCTCCTCCTGCTCCCTGCAAGGCGCCCGATACCGCCTGTGTCTCTCATTGTGTCTTTCTCGTCTATCCATATCTGTCTTCTTTCCGTACTTGCTTTCCTTCGCTCTTGCCTTCTCGCTCGTTGCCTCAGCTCTTCGCTTCTGCCCCAAAACGTCTCGTCACACACATATATGGATGCCGTCTTGGCGCCAAAAGTGCACAAAGCCCGCGCTGACTTCCAAGATCAAGGTCACACTTACTAGGCCAGATCATAGGTGTTACGCGACAAAGGTCATGGAACGTTACGCTACAAGGTCATCAACAAACGCTATGCTACATGGAACAAATGCGTTACGCGACAAATGTCTAAAAAGTATATATCTTAAACTTGTCAAAAAGCACGGCAAACAGTTGTATACTGTCTCTGATTATGGCTGGTTCAATATTTCACTTACTGGAAGTAATCTACGCTAAGAACGTAGCATGCGAGGTTCAAAAAATACGCAATGAACGCTGCTGTGGCTGTAAAGTATACGAACAGGATTGCCTAATGATGGATGAACACGAAACCTGGGGAATGCACAGGTTCAACACTATAGAACAAGCTAACAACACGTCCTCCACATGGAACGAATTTGTGGCCGCTATCAAAATTCTAAACATAGAAAATCATAAAGATTTCACACAGCACCTGATGTGTTTGCAAGAAGAACCGGATCAAAACTTTGTCTACACTTTACTACAAGTATATCAAGACAATCAACCATTACTACGTATTCTACATGACTTATGGAATCCACAAACTGACCCCCTGGAATCCTATGCTCAATGTCATTTCAGCTCACCGCCAAGATACACCTATTATGTCAAAGGGACAAAGGAAACATTCAAATCCCTCGAAACGGATCATAACAAAGCGTATCAGAAACATTTAGAAAATAAACTACGAGAACAACTCAATAAATTGTAAAATCTTTGTTCTCAAAAAACATTAGTAGTTTTACAAAACATCTCTGTTAAAAAATCTTTTACAATTTTATAAATAAATAAATGTTTTTTACTAAAAGTGTCTTATGCACAATGTTCTTCGCTCCAATACATTAGGTAGTTCAAAATGGGTTCATAATCAGAAAAACTTCCTCTCAAATCCCCCAAAAAATCAAGTGTTACTTCACGATCTCTTATCAAGTTCGCATAATGTTCTTTCGCACGCTCGTAATATTCCAATTTCATCACTCGAATGGCTTCCAGAAACTGTTTCCTCACAATTCCATGCTCAATCACACGCTCCACTGCTTCCAAACCATGCAGTAACCATCCCTCCTCGTCTGACAACATAATACAGTCGTGTCTCCTCTGACTCGGATGATCGACTTCACAGCCTGGACATTTCTCCTTCAATAATCTCCGAATTTCACAAACAACCGCTTCGAAAAACACAGCATTCATCAAGTCACAAACATTCTTCACTTCATAAGATACTTCATCCACAACCAAATCGTTTGGCACCTCCTGAGAAATATTCATTGCTGCAAACATATCACATAAACTCTCCATTTTAAAATAAATATAAAACTCCCGTTTTTATACGTCCCGCTGACGCCATCTGAAAATTCCAAAAGATCACGCGATAAATGTTATGCGACAATACTTGCTGACGTCATCTCAAAAGATCACACGACAAACGTTATGCGACAATGTTCCAAAAATGACGTCACTCTTATCCCTAAAAAATGCTGACGTTCTATGGCAGGAAAAATGCTGACGTCATATGGCGGGAAATCACAAGCTCATTAGTATTCCGCTATATGGGGGGGCACATCTACTTATATGTAGACATGTTTACAGGATGACGACATGAATAACAATACATAATAAATATAGCATAAAAATGAATAAATGTTTTAGACACATAATACTTCGTTTATTTTTTTGATAAACATGGTTTGGCATGGTCAATCCAAAACTTATATGTTTATTATTTATTAACCATATATCAATATCATGCATTTGTTTTAACTTTTCTTCTGCTTTTGTAAATTCTTCACTGGCGAAAAGTTCATCGCGAATCAAGTATGCAAAGACTGCACGGCAAGGTGGTGACATTGTTGACAACACCGCTCGGGTTGTGAACACATTTTGAGAAAACAGTAGTAGTTGGTGGTTTTGGGTTGTTTTGCCAACTGTTTAAATCTTTCTCAAAGTTTTGCTTGTGCGACTTGTTGTTGTCCAATGATACGCGGCTCGACGGTTTCGTCACCCTCTGCATTTTGTCCGCGGATTACACTATGATTATCAATTTTTGGGCAAATCCGTTTATAGAGCGGTGCTGGATTTATAAGTTGAGTATCATTTGATATCTGGACCCTGGAGCTTGAAGACGCTTGATTATCAATTTTTAGCCAAATCCGTTTATAGAGTGGTGCTGGATTTACAAGTTCAGCATCATTTGATATCTGGACCCTGGAGCTTGAAGACGTTTGGCTTTCTGCTGAAATGTTGTCAGGAACACCAATACCAAATGATAGTATTTTACGTGTTTTCAAAGGTGATTTTGTCCCCACTGTCGTCCAATTGATTGTGAAAACGTTTTCTTATCTTAGTATAGATTTCCGTAGCCTCAAAACAGCGTTCACATTTAGTACATTTGCATTTTTCCGTAAAGGGACATTATTCACAAGACATTCTTTTACTTTGCCAGCACACTTGCTTGTCGTGTTGGTAACCGTTTTTTTATTACCCAGATATTTTGTGCGTAATTACCATATTTGGGTAATTATGCGCGAATGTCAACATTAATGTTTTGTTACGTTATTACCCATGTTTGGGTAATACTCGTAATATGGTTATTATTACAGGGTAATTAATTTTTGCGGGTAAAGTATTTCTGTATCGCAATGGAGGGGGGCACATATGAAAAAGCTCTTCGATATTATAAAATTCCGACCAACCCGTTTGTACCATTTTGTTTGTGCAAACATAAATTGTATCTTGCGGATAATTTTTGTAGTACATATTGGGCACACAATACCGCAAGACTACGTAAGGAGTTTGAAAAATTGGTTATACGTTATCCGTATGTTGATTGGGAACCAGTGGAAAAATGGCTGTACAAATTATAGATTTACTACAATTTAAGTTGCCGTGCGATTGTAAATCATGCAAAAGTTGGGACGAAAAATTGGAGTTGATGATAACATGTCACAGGATCACGTGCGCGTGTGACGAAAATGTGAATCTTGTATGTAAACGAGATGACGACTTGTGCTCTGTACGCTATGTTTGTTATAGAACCGATGCGGGAAATTGTGGTTTTAATATTAACGCTTATGACAAGTTATTTTCTGAATACGTTTCAATTCTAAACGATGCAAGTGATTATTTGTTTTGGTTAACACGCGACAAGTGTGGGTGTTTAGAATCAACGGTGGCATATGTGGAACCCGTAGCAGTTGGAACTGCACCTACGGAAATGGAAAATGAATTGCAACTGTTTTATATATGTGCCCTTGGATGTTGTAACTATAAAAAGTCAATACTGCAAATAAAGGCTTTACACGGTGATGGCATCTGTTGTATATGTGGCGGTGTGTGTATTAAACAAAACGATGTATATAGTTGTCCGCGGCTTGATGGCGGTTGTGGCACATTTTTTCATGCACTGGATTCAATGACGCTTATACAAACTGTAATGTGTAATGACAATCTTGAAGATCACGCTTTTCTATGTTTACCAAAGAAAGCGCGAATGATTTGCGGACAACACGCTATCCTAAAATACCAACACAAATCGTATTACCCGTATATAAACGGGGAACTTGTATATAAATGTACACGTATGCATTGCTGTGTTAATACTTTAAAAGATATATTAATGCCCATTATTACCAATGGGGAAGTTTTATTGTAAATATTTGTTTAAAAATATACATTTTGTAAGATAGAGTTGATGTATTTATTGTTCTATGTTTTTTTACTGTTTTTACAATTTTTTTTACGATTACTGAAGATCTTTTAAGAATTGCATTTGCAATATTCCCGGACCACCATTTGTTCATTTCATGTTCGCCAGCCACGATTCCTCCTAAAAAAATTTTTAAACGCACAATTTAAATTAAAATTCAAAGTTTTAAACATGCACCTACCTACCCCTCTAGATTTGTGGGTTATAGGGGTTGTACCATTTGCGGGTTATAGGGGTTGTAACGTTTACCACCCTGCGTGTTATTCACTGATATGTACATATTTTGATGTCGTTGTGGGGGTGGTCTTCTTCCCCCACCCCCACCCCCCAGACCACCCATTAACAGGAGAGGTAAAATTCCACCATCCTGTTTGGCTGTTTTGTTTTTTTTACTTCTTTGATGTTTACCGCCTTTAAAGTTTCCGCCTTTTTGTGTTCTCACCATGACTACAATCAGTCTTGAAATGCAAAAGCTTTGGGTGGCGGATCATTTTATCAGTTGTCAGATTATTTTTTCGGTTTGGTAGTGGAAAAAAAACCTTTCCGAAACTTTGAATATATGGTGTAGATATGACGGTCGTATATATGAATTAATATTTCAAAAACATTTTGGATTTGTAAAAGCTATACCCTATTCGCTTAGAAAAGATGTTCGTGATAAAATAGTTCATTTCGAAACAACTTTAAGAGACGTTACTCTTTATTTAGAGTGTAATCTTTTGGTTGAAAATAACCGAAATATAAAACAGTATTTGGCTGAACATTTCGGTATTTATATTTCACAATTGGTGGTTGTGGACATGCTACAAACACACTATTTCGATGGACACAATTACAGGGATGCCATTATTACACCATAATACAATGGATGGTTTAACATTGATAAGACCGTGGATTAATGAAGACCGAAATCATTGTACAACATTTTTTTACAAGGGCTTATTTGGTAAAGCAAATATAAAAATATGTTAGTAGTTGTACCATGAGTGAGGATTATAAAACTACATATACATTTGGTGTGTGTTATATTGGAACTTCGAATATACGCGCATTTACAAGTATGGTTGTAAATTACGATGACTGGACGGTAGTGTTTAATGCCAAAGGTGAAATTTTTTCGTTTTTAAAGGATTTATTGCAACTATGTTTTAACACTTTGATTAGTGAACGCGAAGCACATTTTTAAATTGGTGCTGAGAAGGGCGTGTTATGTTCTGATTGCATATTAAAACTTGTATGCGAAGTGCGGGACGCTACTTGTACCTGCGGACGGGGCTATACTACATTAAAGTGATTAAAACAAATACTTATACAGAATAAAATATATATAACTAATCACGTGTGTATTATTGTGTATAAAATAAGAATGAAATAAGCATTTGTTGTTTAGATTGTGTGCAAACCTTTTGAGAGTTGTTGGCGCATTGTTGCAGCATGGATTTTGATTTGGATAAAATGGGTGAATTAGCTTCATTTTGTGAATATAAAAATAGTATATTTACGAACAACAAACCGCTTGACGTATTTTGTGGTGACCAAGTTTACAGCTGTAACCATTTTGTGAAGATAATTGAGTTTTACCCTGTACGTAAGACATCTAAGATTACCATTTTCAAACATACCACATGTTCGAAATCAGTACATTGGCCTTGGTTGGTATCAGCACGGTTATGGTTACTCTTTGATAACGCGCACACCGAGAGTCTGTGTCGAAATGAAAGAATTTGTGCTACAACTTTATAGATATAGTAACAGTTTTTGCAGTGAACCTTTTAATGAAATTGTGCTAAAAGTGCGAAAACAATTACTTGAAAAGGGATATCATTTACATAAATCGGTGTTTAAGTTTATACTATTCATTCTGCTACATAAAACGTATCTGGGCGACACGTTGCTAAATGTTTCTAACACCAACATATTTCTCTGATGTGCCTGTAATTTGTGGTGTCAAACGCTTTCACCTATGGCAAACTAATTTATGGTATGGCTGCTACCAATTCGAAGAAGATAGCATATTGTCAGAACATTCAGAGCGTAAATACCTATATTTGGAAAAATCATTAATATTACAATCAGCGTATTACATGAAATTAAGGGTCGGATTGCAAAAAAAACAATTGGGATATTTGTGGGTGTGTTGGGGGCGTGTTTAATAACGTATAAATGCTACCAAATTATTTGCAAACTAGTACTTGCTTGCGTTGGCACTAGCATAAGCACTAGCACAAGTAGTAGTTATTCGTTTTAATGATGACGGAAGTTTATCATAAAGAAAATACTCTTTGCGAAACTGTGCTTGGCACATATGCAAACAAATTGACAAAAATGGTCTTTGCTAAATGCTATAACAAGAAATGTGTTCTTGTGTCAGGCGTGCATTCTCAGAATACAAATAAATTTTTATATAAAACTGGTGTGGAAATGAGCTTTGATGAGTTGGAAAATCTCACAGAAGCACTAGCTCTATATAACCACAATCTTAATTAACCTAATGGAGTAATCAGTACTGAGTAGTAACATATTATATACTCATTCTGCATGATATTGCTTGCACAATATCTATAATTCCTCATTATTAACATTAATTTTATCT